TTAATTAATACTAATATGCTTTGGCTGATTATCGATGCTAACCAGTAGGATTCGAGGTCATTGAATGACTTGGTTAGTGCTATATTACTACATCAAATATGCTGGTATGGAAAGAGTACCGAGATTTAATTAATAAGCAAAAGTCAGAACACGGTGTCTGGTATTATCAATCCTTTAGGGGTAATAGAATCTCAAGCATATTTTGGCCTATGCCAAGGTCTGTTTTGTTTTGCACACACACACACACACACACATTTTGAAGAAATTGTTACTTTTAGGAAGGTAATTAGGAGTGGGAATGGAGGCTTTGGACATTCCATTTTGCCAGAAGCCGGAACACAAATTGTTAAGGTACAAGACCAGGACACTAGTGAAGTAGTGTGATGTGAATGCACAGACAGCCACTCATTTCCACCAGTGGTGGCCAAGATTTAATAGATAGTAGTACATTTAAATGTCCTTTTTCTTCTTTAAATGTTTGTGTTTGGGGTGGAAATTGGCACAGCAAATTAGATTCCGATTTAATGTCTATGTATATTATTGATATTGGTTCCATTTTCCATAATGTGTCAGCATGCTCATTATTTCTGTTCTGGGTGTTCTGTTTCCATGGAATCCAGCATCCCTGTCCCCCACCACTCACCTGACTTTTCCACCTTTTTACCTGCCAACTAAGATTTTTTTTTTTCCAAAAACCATTTTATTGGGAGCTAATACTGATATCACAACATTCCATAGTTCAATCACATCACGCAGTATTGTACAAGTGCTACCACAGTTAGTTTCAAAATAGTCTCTTCCTTCTTGAACTCCTTGATATCAGCTCCCCTTTACCCCCACTCCCTAGTTTTTTGTGGTTTTTTTAAACAATTTTGTTGGACATAATCCACGTATTATACAATCCAAGTTTAATCATATGAACAAGAGTTTTATAGTTGTGACCACAATCCATTTTAGAACACTGTTAGCTCCCCATTTCCCCCACCCCCACTGCCACGTCCCCAAGAAACCATTGTTATTGTCTCTGTAGATTCATCCCCCTTTTTAGAGGGAATGTTGACCATTTAGTCTTTCCTATTTCTTCTTTTGAAAAGAATCCACCCAGTTGTAGACTTGTTTGCCATTTGGGACTGCAGCTTCTTAGGCAGGATGGGTTTATCCTTCACGATGATTGGGGTAATGGGCAACCACTTTTTCCTAATGTAATATGCTTTGTGAAATGCAGGTTCGATTAGCCTCTTAGTGCTTTGTGAAATGCAAGCCCTGGCAGGGTAGTGGTTACGTGTTGGGCTGCAGGTCAAAACCACCAGGTGTTCTTGCAGGGGAGATAAAAGGCTTTCTGCTCCCATAAGAAATTAGTCTTGGAAATGCACAGGGGCATCACTCAAGAGTTGGCATTGATTTGATGGCAGTGAGCTTAGGTTATTAGTCTCCTTTCTACCCATTTCCAGCCTTTGAATCCTTTCTCCACTTTACAATCTGGTGGCCAGGTCTGTAGAGTGTTAATCCAGTGTTTCCAATAAAACAATCTACTGTCCTTCTCTTACTCAAGCTCTGTAGATGGCTCCTGGTGCTTCCCAATGTAGCCTGGTGGACATCTGCTGGTCT